CGTTGCGGCTTGCGTCTCCGCTATGCTTAGCATAGCTATCAGGCATAGAAATATGCGCGAACCGGTCACTGATTAAATATTACCCATTGTAATTGTAGCCAATGATACCGTACAGTTTTTTTACTTTACTTATAACCGCACCTGGAATAAATAGATTTATTAGACAGACTCACTTTCTTGTTCCAGCAATGCTATGCAATAAATAAATCACCGCCAGCATATGCACCATTGGTCCCATCGGACAATCGGATACAACTATTCAAGGAAGACAATTTATTTATAATCCTTCAATAATTAGAGCCTTGAGATTTATTTTTTTATTACAATTGCCAATCTTCTTGTAAAACTTGACTTGTATTTCCAAAATGAAAACTCTGATATTGGAAATAGGAATGTCCTATGGAATTAAGAAAGATATAATATAGAATATAAAAAATGTTTAAAGGAAATCATTGAAAAAATTACGACAAGCATCAAACTGCGCAATCGACCCATCAAATAATCGTAAATGGTTGTCCGTTGCTAAGTATCCCAACATGGAATAATTGGAGCCTTGCTTTGCCACGAAATTTGGTTCGTGCATTTTGATTGGAGCGATCTTTGAATCTATCTTGAAGTTAGTTTGAATTTGAATCACAGCTATAGAAAAGATTAAAAGATTTGATTGGAAAATATACTCTTATGATCAGATTGAAAACAAACCAATGTTATGTGTATAAGGGTATTCGTTGGTATATCCTGAAAAGCATGCAGAAAAGCGCTTGTATAACTTTACATTTTGACAGTTAAAGGTAATTTAAATGAAATACCCGGATGCACGTGAATTCGATCGTTAGTGACGTTTACTGTTCGACATGGGGAAAATAAATTTACAGTACCAAATGTCAATGTTACTAATTCAGCACCGAATATACAATGGGCTGCAGTAATTATATTTAGGCTGGGTGAAATATTTGCACTGCATGTTAAAGTTTCACCGTTGATTATAGAGACGACTCCTACCATATGCTTAAAATCTTCAATTCTGGTAGCTATTGGGATACACATGAAAAAAAAATACAGAATGTTACCTTTGTAGAATAGTCAAATTACCTTTCTTGTGATTATTTTGGCCTGGTTTCTGAAAAGAAAAGAAAATTGAAGGTTTCGAAAGAAGCGGTTTTTTCTGTCACACTCACCCTTGGATTGTCAATAAAGGGTATGTAAGCACTTATGAGAGTGTATACCTATAGTTTTGCACGTAATAAAAAATTATTATGATGAGTTAATAATGTAATGTAATGTAATGTAATTTTTATTTTTGAATATTCGTTTTTATATAC